TTCTTCCGCCAACTTCGAAAATCATGTGGAACGTCGGCAAAGGTGGTTGAAGCCCAGGAGGGATTGTTTAATTGGTATTAGAATCGTTCGAAAATCAGAAAAAAATTGAAGTGTGCTTGAGTTCGAGGGTAGGTAATGCAGTACCATACATGTGGACCAGGGATCGAATCCCAAATGGGTATAGCCCAGGTTAGCTAAGTTTTCCATCCCCCCGCGGTCGGTTAACTGGCATCAGACTAATGGCGATGACTTGTACATCATTGTAAGGGCTACATACACATCAAAACGTCGCTACGATTCTGAATGAAAGTCGAATGCGGGGGCCATCCCATAAATGAGGTTGAATTTTGAGCTTAAAATTGAAAATAACCTTCAGCTGCAGTTGATGCAGGAGTCGGCAAAGCATTCGGAGCTAACGGATTAATTTCACCACCTGCAATGGAATTATTGTATCAGCAAGCCAATCAACTTCAGACACAGCTATATTGGAATGATGCATCTATATAAAAAGCTTTCTACTGCTACGGTCTTGATAGGTCGTCCAAACAACCGGTTGTTTCTTTGGGTCTCCAGACTCTGAAGAAGACGATACCGTCGAAACGTAAGTTGCTAAAAGCCTATTTATCACCTTGGTAGCAGGTTTGATGAAACAAAATCTTATAAACTTAAATCAAAGACATGCCAAGATTCACTGAGAGTCGAACATGGGTTTTGATAGGTTTTGTTACTGAAAAATTCGCATTATATACGTGCTACTACGACCACATCTAAAAATATAGGGGGAGGTGTGGTGCAATGGGATTGAAATTGTTGCGTCGCGGCGAGAGGGACGCCGTGCGTGAAGGAATGTAGCAGAATGCAGCAGCAGGTAAAAAATAAAGGAACAAAAGAACTAACAGTAGAACTAGGTGTTAAGTGGGTTGGGGGGGGGGCCACGCGGCGCGGCAGGCGGTGCGTCACCCTGCGTCTCTCCAGCGAGATAGTAGTGGGCCTGAGTCTGGGAAGGGATGGTGAGGTTGTACTGATGTGGTTCATGATTCAAAACAAACTAAGTCTTGGCACATGTTGATATGCTTCCATATTATGGATACTCTTCTTCTAAGCCGATAAATCCTATTTTTTTTAGAAGGGGAGGGGCTCCGGGGTGGGTGCGATGGTTATCTCGTACAAAAAGCTGAGATGAGTTAAAAGTTGAACGTCTAATTGGCTCACCCCACCCCGGAGCCCCTCCCCTTCCTAAAATTAGGTGAAAAATACACAGTTATAACATAAAAAAAGCTATGAAACGCCCCTAAACACCGTTACGGACTCGCCTACCCTTCCTTGTCTAATATCTCGCTGGAGAGACCCAGGGTGACGCGCCGCCTGCCGCGCCGCGTGCCCCCCTCTCCCACTCACTTAGCACCGCGATTCGTTCCCTACTCAAGCATTTCGCAGGTTGGAATGTCATCCACAGTCAGTTTTGTCACAACACCTTCGAAGCTATGAAGCTTAGCTTTATTGCACAATGTATGACAACACTAGCGACTTAAAACAGTAAGAAAGTCGAAAGGATGCAAGAGGGAGGACACCTTGGCAACCATGTAGGTCATGGGGAAATCGGATCGCAATATTATTATTCTGAACTCAAAACATTCAATAATTTCACGGTAACAAGCATATACGACCGAAAAAATCCTGGCCATAAATTGTTCTGTCAATCGAAGAATCTGGTACTTTGGCAGTATCTGCATCTCTTATGGTGGTTCTCGACTCTTCTGAGCCTCGCCAAAAAAAATTGCGAAGTCGTTATATTTAGTCATTAAGTAGCATGTGAGGCTCTCGGAGCCTCTGAGCACTTCTGAGAGGAACAAAAGGAAAGAAACATTGAAGACCGGGAGAGAGATGATGAACTGAAAAAGCAGAGAAGAAACATTGAAGAACGGGAGAGGAAGAGAGAGAGGAAAAACTGAAACAGCGTTCATTTTCAGATGTAACGGGTACGTTTATCACCGGAGACAAAAGAGGGTCAGATGGGAAGAGTTTGGGGTGCTCTGATCATCTAGAAGTAGAATCTGCCAGTCATTTTGTAGAGTCTTCTCAGTGCTTGCTTGTCATAGAACGATACAGGATTTCCAGTTGGTGTGAAGGCGGTCACCTGAACAGTTCATAAATATTTCATTCAACTATCTTTACATTAATAGTTGTGTCTCTAGAGTTCAAAAATGACAGATTTCTGAAATGTTGATGGATAAAAGTGGCCAGAATTGCAGGAAGTCTCAGATATCCCCTTTTTCCCTATAACTTCCTCACTATAAAAGGTCATAGCCTACTGTCGCAGTACCCGATGGCTCAGCAGCACAACTTATCATTGTTTCTTGTGCCCTCATCATCCTTATCACTGCTCTTTCTCGTTACTCGAATTCTACACCATTTTCCCTTCTGCTCATGATATGTTACTCATGACGACACTCGAGAGAGGAGAGGCTACTACTGGATTCTTTCTCTTGGGGTAACAGACAGACATAACTCAGGTCGCAAAACGAATGGCACTTACTCCTTGGTCATACATGAAGTGCCGGTTGAACGCATGATCTTGTGGTTTTCGCCATTCATAAGCGGAATAGGCGAAGCGATTGGCATAGTCATCGGCCTGGAACAGCAGGTTTCGATAACGAAAGGAAAAAACAGATTATTGGTGTTTTGACAACTCATTTATGAGCAAAAGGGTGCTTCTTTGAGCAATGGCACGCGTTGGCGATGAAAGGCAGCGGATTGGACGCAGCGCCGTCAAGTATAGCTGTACCACTCGCTCACACCGCCCGGCGATCAGGACTACGCTAAGAATTCACCTTTAGTCGTGCTCCAACGTAGCGATCCAAGTACTTTTGTGATTCCCGAAGATAAGAAGCATTGTTTCTCATTTTCTGTAAATATTCGACAATCAGACCAGAGTATTTCAAGGAAAATTGAGTAAACAACCATTACATCCAGAAGAACGAACCATTTTTCAGATAATTGTCGTTAGTATGAAATCATTATCAAGCTGTGATTTTTGTTGGATTAGGCTCGATTAGGCTTACTGGAACTTACCTCGTCAAAGAAGATTCGTCTCGTTTGGAACGTATAGTACGGTACATGGGACGACAATGGGGTCATGTAGTTTATTGAAGGACGATATGGGCGATTTACGATGTCGTGAGTATCCTTAAATGGATCGCATTTATTTTTTGTAGTAGTAGTTTTTGTAGTAGTGTAGTTTTTTTTTAGTATTTCAAAGTTTTAAGGAAATTAAAACTTTGCTCAAACGCAAAAAAAAAATGCAAGATCTTGGCATTTCGCCAAATCTTCGAGAGCATACTCACCCTCCATCGTGCCTCTGAATAGCTGTTGTTGTACCAATTATGAACATGAGGCTTGTAGACAGGGACGGTATGTACAATACGCTGCGCTTCTCTGTAAACAATTCCTCAATCTTCAACATGTTTCTCCTCTTTTTTAGCATCCGATCCCGGCCAAAATTCTTTTTTCTCTTCTCTCAAATTTTCACACGAATATTTCCTTTTTTGTCGAGGGTCTCTGTCTTACCAAAATATCGAAAAATCACTCTTGACGAAGTATCTAAAAGGCATATGGGGCAGTAAAATGGCGAGTGAGGAAAGGCGACAGGTCAACGGTTCCGATTGAGGGGCACGCGATTGCGACTAAAATCCCGCGAGAAGCGCCAACGGTTTTGCTGCAATGACCGTATCCTCCCGTGGAATTCAAATCTCTCCTCCAAAGACTGCTTTCATAGTCCGCCGGCCAAGGGCGGCGTTTGCCCCTTGTTTGCAACTGAATCTTGGTCGATACCTTCGGCCGAGTAGTGCCCCGGCCGGCGTGCTCGCTCGCGCGCTCGCGAGCCGACCGGCTGACTGTGAAAGCTGAAAGCAGCCAAAGCGTGCGACTGCACAAAATCGAGTGCGGCGAACTCGGCACGCCGTTCTGCTGGGAAATACCACGCCCTGAAAAGAAAGATTCAGCACCCTCAAGCACACCCAGCGATAACTACCCCTTAAAGAGAGTGCAGGCAGTCATACAGGCGTCGCTTCGCTTTGCCGATTGCTCTCCCTTTTCGGGACTTTTCAAGATGCTTTCCCAGCCCATGTGGGGATGATTCTCTAGTTCGTCTGAACGTTTCAAAGGTATCCCAAGAAAAATAGTAACATCAATCATCAAGCATAGCTACCTGCAATATTGTGGAAGTGCCAAGGATGGTGCCAATGAAGAAACGGTATCAGAACGTTTTATTGGATAGTCATGAACCGCTTCCTAAAAATTATTTGGACAGCTGTATAATATTGAAGTGCAATAGAATTAAGGAAAGCATCTAGTAGAGGTAAAATGTGTTCTCACCTTGATGTACGTGAGATTCGTGAAGCTGGCACTGCGAGCCAACTGTTTAGGTTTTACCCAGATATCTGTGATGTAGTTGTTGTACATATTTTGAGCACGGGCTCGTTCCACATATTGTCTAAAACATAAAGACGTGTTGCAGCTGTAAAGTGTGATTGATAGCAAAAAAATGAAAAGTGAAGCTATCATTGAAGTTATGACCTTCACATTGGGCTCAGCCTATCCTAACTGTGATGGGCCTCCCTACATGACTCCTCTAACCGCTGTTCCGCTGTTCTTTCGTTATCGGAACTTCTAGAGAAATGCCTCTTATCGTCGTCAAAATATTCAGGAGCCAGGAAGAGTGGACAGAATGGAGAAAAGGTTCAAAATCCGAAGCAAAGTGTGAAAAATTGATTTGTTTCATGGTGCAGCTTGGCAGTTGGCGCTGTGCTTGACGGGTCGACAGCCGAAACCCCATCGATAGCATGCCTGCTGCTAAGAAGATATCGGAAAGTGAACTGCTGTGCTTCTCACTGCGAAATCGCTTATGAATACGTCAAAGGGTTTACAATGAAAGCATGATGTCTTTGGGCTCTGACAATCCCTTTTTTGGTATGTACCGCAGCATTCGAGCTCTATTCATAATGGTTTTGAAATATTTCTGACCTTCACAGTGACTTGTGTTGGCCATCTGGTGTGCGGGCTAGTGCTTCCATCCTCGGTACCTGTTAAACGACTACTATGGGGCGGAATACCTGGGCGGCCCACGCCGAGTATGGATCTCGGCAAAAGTGATAGCAGGATGAAACAGACCGAGCACAAAGCTCATCTATCTACCAATCTGTCCCACAAAATAGCTATCCCTAGAGATGGGTGCTCTTCAAGTTAAAATTTTGGAGAAGCAAATTTTGAATTTTCTGTACTATAAATTAGTTTTGAATTCATGTAGATCTTTCCATCCCTCACTTTTTTCACATATTTGAGGCTGACCTATACGCCCATGGTATACGCGTTGTTACACAATTCGGTAACCTTATTGTAGCACTTCCAGATGGTATGCTTGAGAATAGGTTTTTTTATTTTATCGTTGTGATACTTTTTCTATGAGATGTGAATCATCAAGTTGACCTTATGAATACGACCACTACTTCATATAAAAGCCCGAACAAACATAACGATGCTGTGAAAAGCCCTTTGTCGCTTTAAGTTTCCTGACTTCTCAACAGATGTTGGAATCCCTCGATTTGGTGAATCACGGCTTATTGACGTCAATGTTACAGCGTCTATGCTGCCGATATGTGAGAATAATCCCTTCCTCCGTCCCCAAAACATCAGTACTCTCCAAGCTACCAACGGAAGCTGCTAACGCGAGGTGGTCTAGTGGTTCAGAACTGCGGCATCCCATCAGCCTTTTCGAAAATAATAAAAAAAATGCGGGAATAAAGAAGTTAGCTGTAAAAGTGGATAAAAGTTGAAGTTATAAAACTAGGCTTTCCGATGCGTTTATACTCACGTTCTCGGATATTCCTTCCACCATTTCGTCTCATGATCGACATCGTCTTTTGCGAAACGAGCAGCGGTTGATGGTGTCATCTCCCTCCCAACTTCATGGATAAAAAATAATCAATGAGTTGAAAAAACACGAACACTTCACCAATTCTTGAAGTTAACAAGTATATCACGTTAAAACAGCAGTTTACAGGGAGATAGTCAAGTCAAAACAGCAGGCGACAAGAGCATCAAGTCGAAACAAGTAATANGAATAATCCCTTCCTCCGTCCCCAAAACATCAGTACTCTCCAAGCTACCAACGGAAGCTGCTAACGCGAGGTGGTCTAGTGGTTCAGAACTGCGGCATCCCATGAGCCTTTTCGAAAATAATAAAAAAAAATGCGGGAATAAAGAATTTAGCTGTAAAAGTGGATAAAAGTTGAAGTTATAAAACTAGGCTTTCCGGTGCGTTTATACTCACGTTCTCGGATATTCCTTCCACCATTTCGTCTCATGATCGACATCGTCTTTTGCGAAACGAGCAGCGGTTGATGGTGTCATCTCCCTCCCAACTTTACGAAAAAAAAAACAATCAATGAGTTGAAAAAACACGAACACGTCACCAATTCTTGAATTTAACAAGTATATCACGTTAAAACAGTAGTTTACAGGGATAGTCAAGTCGAAACAGCAGGCGACAAGAGCATCAAGTCAAAACAAGTGATTTCAAAGACAGTTTACAGCTCGACCACTCGATGCAGATATTGGCCGACCGGCTCATCACGTTGTACGTCTAAGTGCTGATAAGCTACGGCATAAAAGTCGAGGGGAATTGGGGTTTTGGTAGTGTAGGAACACGGTGCCCGGATAGCTCGGGTACAGGTTCGAGCCCGGTTCGAGGCCGAGGTTTTGTCCATAACTCGAGAACTTTGTGAGATTAAAAATATTTACGGTTACTTATTTGGAAAGAATTCGAAAAAAATTTCAAATTTCAACTGATTTGAGAGCCTTGGATAGACTAACACAGAGCCTTAAATGCAGCCATTGAGGGCCGCCAATACGGGGTAATGGTCCTCAACGGTAATTGGATCATTTGATGGTTTTTGTGTACCTTTCATTTCAATACATCATCGCAACCCTTCACTAATATCTAAATAAGTCACAACGCAAATATTTCGATAACAAATTCTGCGAATAACTACGAACAGAAGAGGCCAAGGGAATATCAGTGGGGCGCCTAACTATTTTAGTTTTAAGAGGATTGGGGCTGTTGGCCATATGACCAGCTGTTTCTAGCCCATCAAGAGTTTTGAATAATATAAATGTGTTAATGACAAAAGTCAGGAGGAACATTGAAAACAGCTGATAGACTCAAAAGCGACTCCGACCCATTGAAACCAATGCCACCGCGTATTCGTTTGGCACCCTCAGATCTTCTATGTAGATAAACTCAACATTTTCATATTGCATGAAAATCCTGGATCAGGTAACCCCCATCGGCGATCGGTTTCGGCCGCCCAAACATTTTTGATAAGAGGACACCTCACTGTCCAACTGCGCGTGCAGCTGCGTTGCGGTAGGCATAAACTTTTCTCTTTCGAGGGGCAAAGCGATGACGAGCGCTTTTTACATATTGGCAAAATAGCCATATTGATGTTTCTTCATGTTCATAACAAACCTAGCAGCAGCTGTTCGGCATCGATTAACGCCTGAGTTCCGACTAATAGGATATTATAGGTGTCAGATCTGCTAACGGAGTCTCTCAACTGGAATTCACTGATCAGAAGAGTGGCGCATTCAACTACTCCCTGATCCGACTTATAGTAAAATGGTACATACTTATGCTAACGAGGGTAAGAACGCTTCCTTCTACGAAGCGCGCGGTTGCGGTGCGGTCATATATGGCTAATACATTTTCGCGTGCTGCTGTCAAGAGTTTTCCCTATTTTATAAATTCATACTTCCCCTGGCGATGTCAACGGGATTTTGCAAAGCGGCAGTGACTATCTTGGGACAGCCACGCATCCGATTTCTGTTTAAAGTGATGGTACTTGATTGTAAGGTCTATAAATTAACGTGGAATCAACCAGTGCGCATACCACAATTTTTACAATGTCTACGAGTACTGTACCGACAATGAGTAAGTGGTCCGGAAATGTTGCATAAGTAAGTCAAATCACTCATTCTGTGCTAATCTATCCGATCAAGTGGTATTTACTTGTCATTACTACTCGAGAGAGATGTCAGAACACAAAACGTTTCCAGCTTTGATACCCGAAATATACGTGTTGTAGCAGCGCCACTTGGCATAATCTCATCTACACCCAGCAGCCACTTCGAATAAATAATAAACAAATCTTCAAGAATTTCTATTATGAAATTTTGATTTTTCTGTACAGGATTAACGAGAAATTACCCATCAATTCACAGAAGGCTATAAGCAAGTAGTCTACAGAAATGCTAGGTGTGTATGGAAGTCTGGGGATGAACATGAGCTTACCATAGTTGAAATAATATGGTTGAGTAAAAAAATTTGAGTATAACGGAAGGTCATTAAAGAAAACTTAACGATGAGCAATGGCAGCTAGTTTTAGCTAAGAGCGTGGGATGTGGAATGAAGCTTACACACTGGACGGCTGCGCTCAACGATACCTCTACGTGTGCGAGAGGAAGTACGACTGGCGCTGAGATCTTAGACAATCGAAAAATCATCAAAGCATTAGCCAGTTGAATCCAGCCAGCCAGAAATCGTAACAGCGACCCGATGAATTTTGATGGAACCATAAAATTATGTTAAATTTTTACGTCATTACGTCACATTTTTCATTTGTGAAAGAACATAGCAGATCAGTCCTACATTTTTCAGAAGATTGAGATGAAATCATGGCATATGTGTCATCGCCACATGCATGAGTCGAAATGAAGGCTTGTGTTGTGTGTCACGACCAGAACTCAGAAAAACCATTAAGGCTGTGTCTTTATTATCTGTCTACGCGAGGCTCTGAAATTATACAGATATCCATAGATATCATGAACTACATTACACTATCATACCCATGTCTCTCACACCGTCTATCCGTCTCACTACAAAAGAGAACCCACAGGTAGGGATCACAAGAACCCGGATATGATAGCGATGGAATTCACATTTGCCATAACTCCAACTTTCCACCCAAGTGGCATCGAGGGACCTGCAGGAGTTCTTTCAGGATTCCCTCATAGTGAAGATATTATTCACAGCATAGGGACAAGAGAGTGCGAACAACTTTCCCTGTAGGTGAAGCTTGTGGCATTTGCTCGCAAACAAATTGGAATACGTCTACAAATTTATGTTATCACTGAGTATTAACAAGAATCATTAAGTGAGTGAATGCTGCAGTGATGACACAGAGACAAAGAGAATTATGGACGGTGATCAGCTTCCAGACAGCATGCCAACGGCTTCTTCTGAAAAGAACCAGGTTAGTCTCACAATTGAAGGCGACAGGCAAGATGACAAGTCAAAGCGAAATCCTTTGAGCCGTAAATCCAACTCCTTTATCAGTCGGTAGCTTCGTTTCACGAGAGGACTAACCTCAAAAAATGGGAAGAACTTTCAGTTGGCAGCAATACTGGTTTGACCGCCCCTGTTAAGCGTGTTTTTTGTGTCCACGGAATTTACAAGATCGACTTACGGTTGAGATTTGTGTTCTTGTTTGAAAAACTTTAGGGATACGATCGCTCTCGTGAACGGATCATTTGGAAAAAGCAATACGTATAATACAGAGCTCACAATTTGCATAAGACAGGTTAGGATATAGATTGCTGAAAAGAGATGATTAACGGTACTTAGGGGAACACCAAAAAAAATAACTCACTCATATCTGGTACTGTAGCTGTGTGTGGGAGAGAGTTAGCTGCTAGTCCCATGAGGAACACTAAGGCCATTATTCCAGTGAGACCGACTGATAGCTAAATAACAACTGAAGATTTTAAAGGTTGGAACCAATTGTATGTGCTGCCCTCGCGTCACATTCCTTTTACACAGTGCCATACACGAGAGTTCAAGAGTTGAACTCGCATTCGCGTGATTTGCCCGAATCCCTTGCGCGCTCCAACCATCCATTCCCTTTATTTTGAAATTTTTTGATATAGGCAGCTGCTTAGAGCTCGAAATTTCGCTTGTGTTGAAGGCCTCACATCCTCAAACCTGAGGGTGCAAATTCATTGGCAACGGATATACACTCTTGGTCTGACTGTCGTAGTTCGTTCCATTTTGTATCACAGCAGAGCATCCTGAGTAGATTCTCGGCGTGGATTTATTCCTCTACTTGATACTTTTTGCGGATAGTAGGGTTGGGAAGGCTTTTGCTCTAGTGGTTGTCGACGCTTTCTTATGAGGGCGCTTCCCTCCCTCGGTTTTCAGAAGCTCATAGGATGAAAGAGGACGACAATGGGAAACGGGGGTGCACAAGATCTTGGAAAGAGAAAGGGGAAATCCTGTCGCCGTCGGACTCCACGAGGATTATTATTCGGAGTAGAATAATAATCCCCGTGGAGAATAAAGGGAATAAAAATTTATCTCTTGGATCATAGGAAAATTTCACTCAAACGGGACCTTTTAATAGAGTTTGCCAAGTTATCAACGGATGAACCTACCTTGCCGATGAGCTCTGCAGGTTTTGCCATGAACAGACCAACGACGATTATTAAAGTGCAAAGGAAGCATGGAATCAAAATGATTGTCACATAGTAGGCGGTAGTGCGTTTGATGACGATACTGTATTCACCCTGTAGAGATATACTTTGGGTATCCCAAAAAGTTTGCATGGGGAAGTATATCTCACCACTTGCATCTCATTTTCAGTGTCACCCTCGTATATAATGAGGTCCCGCACAGAGACATTCACTACATTCCACTCACCGTTTCCCTGAAGATATGTTTATCACCGTGTAAGAGAGAATAAGGTTGTGAATATTGAAAATTGGTTAAATCGATAAACACTGGCTCCATTCCACGGGTTGCGCCCTGCGCTTGAGCTCTATACAAGATCCTACTGGGGTTTGAATGCGGTGTTGTAAACTCTTTTGTAGCGTTAGGAGATGCGCACAAAAAATTTACTTCGGGTATATGTATATATTTATTTATTTATATCGCAAAATCAGGAATGATGAGGACAGCAAAAGACTCTGACAGGGCCTCCCCTTGGATAAAATTTTAAAGAGCGTGGGTGATACTTTCCTTTGTATTATAATTAAAGGCACTGTTAACAAAAAAGTAAGGGTAACCTTTTTTGACGGGAATAGATAGAACTACTCTAGAATAAAGCGATAACAACGAACAAGCGCAAAAAACGAGGAACAAAAA